CGGGGAGGGGACACAGCGGGACCCGCTCCCGGAGCTGGCTCTGCCTGCTCGGTGTCCCCGCTTCTCCGGCCCCGCCGAGCCCCGCAGCGCGATCCTCGGGGGGGAGGGAAACTGAGGCAGGAGGGAGCCGCCCCTGGATGATGCCAGAGCTGTCGGACAGGGTGGCTCGGGCACAAATCCTGCCCGGATGGTTCAGTGTGCCAGGAGCTGCTGCAGGTTCGGCTCCCGGGATGTGGATGCCTGATGGGAGCAGGGACACCTTCCACCATCCCAGGCTGCTCCAAGCCCCGTCCAGCCTGGCTTTGGACATTTCCAGGGATCCAGGGGCAGCCACAGCTTCTCTGGGCACCTGTGACAGGGCCTGCCCACCCTCACAGGGAACAATTCCTGCCCAATATTCCATCTAAATTCACTCTCTGGCAGTGGGAGCCATTCCCTGTGTCCTGTCCCTCCATCCCTTGTCCCCAGCCCCTCTCCAGCTCTCCTGGAGCCCCTTTAGGCCCTGGAAGGGGCTCTGAGCTCTCCCTGGACCCTTCTCTTCCCCAAGTGAACACCTCCAGCTCTCCCAGCCTGGCTCCAGCTTTTGGAGCATTTCCCTGGCTCTTCTGGACTCTCCAGCAGCTCCACATCCTTCTCATGCTGGGGGTGCTCCACCCCAATGCTGGGGTGCTGCAGAAAGGGAACGGGAACCCCAGGACCCCTCATCCTTTTTGGGGCCACCACGGGGAGGGAGCCCCAAGAAAAGCCCAGCTGGAGCCTTTCCCCTGCGGAGGCGCTGAGTAACGGGAGCAGGACTGAGGCACAGGGAACGATGAACGGCTTGGGAGCAGGGTCGGGCTCAGCCAGACGGGGAGCAAAGCGCACGGAGCGCTTACAACAGGGAGCAAAGCATGTGGAGCGCTTACAACAGGGAGCAAAGCGCACGGAGCGCTTACAACAGGGAGCAAAGCGCATGGAGCGCTTACAACAGGGAGCAAAGCATGTGGAGTGCTTACAACAGGGAGCAAAGCGCACAGAACACTTACAACAGGGAGCAAAGCGCACGGAGCGCTTACAACAGGTAGCGAAGCACGTGGAGTGCTTACAATAGGGAGCAAAGCACGTGGAGTGCTTACAACAGGTAGCAAAGCACGTGGAGTGCTTACAATGGAGAGGAAAATGCACAGAGCGCTTACAGTGTGGAGCAAAATGCATGGACTGCTTACAACAGGGAGCAAAGCACAGGAGCACTTACAATGGGGAGAAAAGCGCACAGAACATTTACAATGTGGGGCAAAAAGACATGGAGTGCTTACAACATGGAGCAAAATGCACGGAGCGCTTACAACACGGAGCAAAGCTCATGGAGCATTTACAATGGGGAGCAAAATGCATGGAGCGCTTACAATGGGGAGCAAAGCGCACAGAGCACTTACAACACCGAGCAAAGCCGCATGAAGAGGAAGCGGAAAGGCACAGGGGGGGTTGAGCAATGTGTCAATCACGGCCCCGAGGCGCTGACCGCAAACCCCAGCAGCCCTGGGATGGGGACATGGGCCCCAGGATGGGGACACTGGCCCTGGGATGGGGACAGTGGCCCTGGGATGGGGACACTGGCCCTGGGATGGGGACACTGGCTCCGGGATGGGGACACTGTTCCCGGGATGGGGACACTGTTCCTGGGATGGGGACACTGGCCCTGGGATGGGGACACTGTTCCCGGGATGGGGACACTGTTCCTGGGATCCCAGGGACACTGGCCCTGGGATGGGGACACTGTTCCTGGGATGGGGACACTGGCCCCGGGGGGAGCGCTGTGTTCGTGTGGGGCTGGGAGCTGTGGGTTGGGGTTTGTGCTGGGTTGAGGTCGTTTTGGCCTCTCCACGATGGATTTTGGCCTGGTGGCTCTTCCCAGTGTGGGGAGATGTTGGGGTGGCACCAGGCATGGAGCTGTGGATGAGGAGATGCATGGAAAGCCTGTCCGTGCTCATCCTTCCAAGCTGGGTCATTCCAGCACAGAATTATCCTGTGCCCATCAGGCTCTGCCCATTCCTTCCTTCAATAATCCACTTTTCCCAGCCTTCTGGACCAGGGGGTTGGGCTGCCTGAGCCAGGAGCGACCTGATGGAGATGGGGCAATCCCTGGCACTCTGGCTGCAGGATTTCCCCCTTGTTTTGCTAAGAAAGGATTAAAAAACAAAACCCAACCCCCAGATAAAAAGGATCTAAATTTAGCTCCAAACAGGGAGGATCGAGGAAGCGATGTTTTAAGGAGAGGAAAGTAATCTGACCTAGGCCAGCAGGCAGCAGATGATTTATGGGGTATTAAAAGGACAGGGAGGAAATAACTCATTGATGAGAGTGGCTTTGTCAGTGCACGTCTTCCTGGTGGAGTTTGGAGCTCCCTGGCTCTTCTGGACTCTCCAGCAGCTCCACATCCTTCTCATGCTGGGGATGCTCCACCCCAATGCTGGGGTGCTGCAGAAAGGGAACGGGAACCCCAGGACCCCTCATCCTTTTTGGGGCCACCACGGGGAGGGAGCCCCAAGAAAAGCCCAGCTGGAGCCTTTCCCCTGCGGAGGCGCTGAGTAACGGGAGCAGGACTGAGGCACAGGGAACGATGAACGGCTTGGGAGCAGGGTCGGGCTCAGCCAGACGGGGAGCAAAGCGCACGGAGCGCTTACAACAGGGAGCAAAGCATGTGGAGCGCTTACAACAGGGAGCAAAGAGCATGGAGCGCTTACAACAGGGAGCAAAGCGCATGGAGCGCTTACAACAGGGAGCAAAGCATGTGGAGTGCTTACAACAGGGAGCAAAGCGCACAGAACACTTACAACAGGGAGCAAAGCATGTGGAGTGCTTACAATAGGGAGCAAAGCACGTGGAGTGCTTACAACAGGTAGCAAAGCACGTGGAGTGCTTACAATGGAGAGGAAAATGCACAGAGCGCTTACAGTGTGGAGCAAAATGCATGGACTGCTTACAACAGGGAGCAAAGCACAGGAGCACTTACAATGGGGAGAAAAGCGCACAGAACATTTACAATGTGGGGCAAAAAGACATGGAGTGCTTACAACATGGAGCAAAATGCACGGAGCGCTTACAACACGGAGCAAAGCTCATGGAGCATTTACAATGGGGAGCAAAATGCATGGAGCGCTTACAATGGGGAGCAAAGCGCACAGAGCACTTACAACACGGAGCAAAGCCGCATGAAGAGGAAGCGGAAAGGCACAGGGGGGGTTGAGCAATGTGTCAATCACGGCCCCGAGGCGCTGACCGCAAACCCCAGCAGCCCTGGGATGGGGACATGGGCCCCAGGATGGGGACACTGGCCCTGGGATGGGGACAGTGGCCCTGGGATGGGGACACTGGCCCTGGGATGGGGACACTGGCTCCGGGATGGGGACACTGTTCCCGGGATGGGGACACTGTTCCTGGGATGGGGACACTGTTCCTGGGATGGGGACACTGGCCCTGGGATGGGGACACTGTTCCTGGGATCCCAGGGACACTGGCCCTGGGATGGGGACACTGTTCCTGGGATGGGGACACTGGCCCCGGGGGGAGCGCTGTGTTCGTGTGGGGCTGGGAGCTGTGGGTTGGGGTTTGTGCTGGGTTGAGGTCGTTTTGGCCTCTCCATGATGGATTTTGGCCTGGTGGCTCTTCCCAGTGTGGGGAGATGTTGGGGTGGCACCAGGCATGGAGCTGTGGATGAGGAGATGCATGGAAAGCCTGTCCGTGCTCATCCTTCCAAGCTGGGTCATTCCAGCACAGAATTATCCTGTGCCCATCAGGCTCTGCCCATTCCTTCCTTCAATAATCCACTTTTCCCAGCCTTCTGGACCAGGGGGTTGGGCTGCCTGAGCCAGGAGCGACCTGATGGAGATGGGGCAATCCCTGGCACTCTGGCTGCAGGATTTCCCCCTTGTTTTGCTAAGAAAGGATTAAAAAACAAAACCCAACCCCCAGATAAAAAGGATCTATATTTAGCTCCAAACAGGGAGGATCGAGGAAGCGATGTTTTAAGGAGAGGAAAGTAATCTGACCTAGGCCAGCAGGCAGCAGATGATTTATGGGGTATTAAAAGGACAGGGAGGAAATAACTCATTGATGAGAGTGGCTTTGTCAGTGCACGTCTTCCTGGTGGAGTTTGGGGCTCCCTGGCTCTGTTTTGGGGACTCCTGAATATTTCAGTTGTCCCCACAGCCTGGCCTGTCCTGTGGGATTGAGAGAAAATCGCTTGGCATGGGATGGATGCATCCATCCCTTGCAGTGGAGCAAAGCCCAAAGTGGTTTTCAGCTTTCTTCTCCCCTCAAGGTCAACTGAGAAAGGAAAAAAAAAAAGAGAAATGGAAGATCTTGCAGTTCTTGGAGGTATTTCATGACTATTTTATTTTGTATTGCAGGACATGACCTATCTGTGTATCTCGGCCTCAGATTCATCCACTCAAAACCTGTAAGTGATTTCCCATCCTTTTTCCTGTTGGCAGCTGTTGGTCAATAAAAGCTCAGGTTCTGCAGGATGAAGGTTTAGTCCATTCATGCTGTGAAATTTCACATAATCCCTGAGTTTCCCAGAAGCTGGGGTTCATTTTTCTGTGGTAAATAACATTTTAGGGCTTAAAATCTATTTTTAATGTGTATTTGCAGTCAGGAAATGTAATTTTTCGATGAGTTTCAGAATTATTCCACTGGGAAGGATTGAAAATCGGCGTGTTACGAAGATGATTTGTGTCAGTCTTCCAGGCATTTTTTTAAAGAGAAATCTATGAAAATACAATTTTTTTTTTTCACTATATAAAGCACAGATGCTCATAAGTCTTGGAATGCTGTTTTGGAGATGAAGAGCTGCTGAGAGGAGCTGGGAGGAATTCCCAGGATTTTGTGGGATGCTGCTGCTTCGGGTGACGGGCACCCATAAATCATCCATTTGCACCAGCAAATTGGCAAATCCATGGGATTCTTCTCTCCAACCAAACTCTAAAAAGCATCCAAACCTAATTTCCAAGGCTCTGCCTGTGGAGGTGCTGTTTTTTCCAGCATCCTTGGGAGCAGCCGTGCCCGGGGGTGGAATTCTGCTTGCTCATGCTCCCGCTGAGCGGAAAGAGAAGCTTTACAAGAAAACCCTGCCTCAGCAAGAACTGGGATTTTTGTTTTTTGGTTTTTTTTTCCCTTCGCTCATTTCTTTGCGTTTTTGGCATGTCTACGAAAGGGGAAAAAAAAAATAACAAGGGAAAAAAAAATTAAGATAAGGCTGCCTGCAGGAAGGAAGAGTTATTCAAGAAACTATTTTCTGCTTGTCAGTTTATGCCTTGGATTTCACAATCCTGGTGAACTTTGTGTCCTGCTTGTGATTCGGGAGCTCGGCAGCTCTCAGCACTACAATTCCACTCCCTGATCCCACGCTTTGAGGCTGGAAAAGCACAGGCAGAGCTTTCCCCCTGGAAAAAAAGCCACCCTTGGAGTGGGTGAGGATGGATGGGGGAGCCAGATTCCTTTGGGATGGGTTGGGACAGGGATGCAGGCTGGAGGCACGAGCGTCGCGTCCTTGCAAGCGAAGAACATTCCTGCTGGTCCTGCCGAGGGGCTGAAGGGGAGCACGGGGACCTGGAGGGTTTGGAGCTGCGTGGGCAGCACCTGCAGGCCCTGGGGGATGTTGTGTGCTCTGTGAAGATCAGCAGGACAAGCAGGGAATTCTCCTGGGACGAGCTTTGGGCAGGGAAAATCCTCCCAAACGGTGATGCTTCGTTTGCTGGAGGATCCTCGGGCTGACATCTCCTTCCAGGGATGAGAGGCTCAGTACTTTCAGCCTGATCACGATGTCAGAGACTCCCTCATCTCTCATTTTCCTGGGAAGCAGAACCCCCTGCTATTCCTGAATAAATTCATCTTTTTTTGGCTCCTTTGAAGGTGCCGAGCCCAGCGCTCCCAGGGCAGGGTGAAGAGCAGCCTCTTCCATGGGCTGGCAGGGATGGAGGAGGTTCTGGAGAGTTCCCAGAGGGAAACCAGCTCTTGGCAAGGAACAGAATGGGAATAACTGCGGGAGGTCATGCCTTGGCTTCTGAGAAATCAGGAAGGCTGCGTGGGCTCACACCCACCCCGTCACGCGGAGCAGAGGAAGTCCGGCGCCGGAGCAGAGATGCTGCCAAAGGAGCCCTCTTCTCCTCCTGGAAAACCCAGGGCTGGGAGGCCACCAGCAGCAAAAGTGACCAGAAGCAAATTTTCTGCCTCAAAATTGCCGCAGGGCTCGGTGTGGTTGAGGGGGAGGGTAGGCATGGTCAGGTTTTATTGGAAAGAGAGGAAGATCTGGCTCAGCGTGGGATCTCAGCGTTACAACAGCTTCTGGAATCCCATCCAGGGATGAGCTGCAGGGATTTGTCTCACCAGAGCCTGCCACGAGCACCCAGCTCTGTCCACACATGGAATCAGTTATCCTGTTTTCCAGGTCTCCTGCAGGAAGGTTCCCACCTGCCCCGTTTTGCTGTGAAATGCTCTGGTTTGGGGGAATGTGCTCCCTCTGCTTTGCCAGCAGCTCCTGGCTTTGGGAATGCAGGCAGCAATCCATGGATGTGCCTGTGCTGTGCACGCCTCTCTGTGCCTTCCCGTGGGTAGGGGCAGGATGTCTCCTCCTCCCTCTCCCTCCCTGCCGGCTCCTCTCCATCTCCCTGGAGGGAGGCAGGTGTTTTTGGCACTGTTTGGAAGGAGGGGTGAGGCAGGATAACTGGGAGAGTTTGTGTCCCCTGGGCACAGGGTGACACCCTTCCCTGCAGGCTGTGCCCCTGGGGCTGAGCTGCTTTCTCTGATGGCATCACCCTCATCCCTCCATCCCTCAGGAAGCAGGAAAACCTCTGGGATGTCTCCCAGGTAATTTCCTTCCCCTGGCACAGGAAGGATCTCTGCCCCCACCCCAGGCTGGTGGCCCCAGGGTGGTGGGAAAGCCTTGGGAGCGCCGGTGCTGCTGTTTGCAGGGTGTCCTGGTGCAGGGGTGGCCAGCCCTTCCCTCCTCACCTGCCTCTCTCCCTGCAGGCTGCAGCATTTTAAGGAGTGCATCCAGTTCATCCACGAGTGCCGGCTCGCAGGGGGAGGCTGCCTGGTGCACTGGTGAGAGCTGCTGTGACCCCCTCACGCCCCACCCGTCCTCTGGGAGCTGGGGATGGGCTCCCAAAAAGTGTCCTTGGTGTTGAGCACCACTGGGGAGGGGGAGGAAGGAGAGGAGGAGGCACAGAACAGCAAGGAAGGTTTTCACTTTTGGATCCATTGTTTTTTTTTTGGGAAGCTGAATAACAATTCTCACCTTTTGGAGATTTCCTGTCCTTCCCCTCTTTGCCTTGGGCTGGGATGAGCAACCCTGGTTTAAATATCAAGGAATTGATGCCAACCTTCCTCTGCAAAAACTGAATCAAAACTCACCTGGAAACCCCACATTTCCAATATCCAGGTGCTCATTTAAGAGCAAGCTTTGCTTTTGAGACGGGGTGGGATGAAGGAAGGGGAAGAGACAGAGAAACAATCATTTTGGGGAAGATTTCATCAGTTTCAATGAACAGGTGATTTCCCAGGGATGGGTGGTCCTTGCACTGACCACCTGAGCATCCAAGATGTGGGACAGGCTTGAGGAGGTGACAGGGAGTGTGACAGCAGCAGCGAGAGAGCTCCTTACCCCATCCCAACCCATCCTGCTCGCAGCCCAGCCAGGGAATCTGCATCCCAGGGCTGATTCCTGCGGGATGCTCTCCCTGACGCGGCTCCTCCTGCCATCCCAGCCTGGCCGGGGTGTCCCGCAGCTCCACCATCCTGGTGGCCTACCTGATGACAGTGACAGAGCTGGGCTGGGAGAGCTGCCTGGCTGCCACCAAGGCCGTGCGCTCCTACGTCAGCCCCAACCCCGGCTTCCAGCAGCAGCTGCAGGAATACGAGAGGACGCTGCTCCAGGAGGTAAGGTGCCCTCGGATAATTTTGGAAGGGTTTTCAAGCAGGAGAAACTCCTTTGAGTGCAGCTCTCTGCCTCAGCTGGGTTTTGGGAATGGCATTTATTACCTAGGGATTTGGGGGTTTGCGTGCAAAAAAACAAAAAGAAAATTAAAAAAGAGGAAGCGCCTCAATGTTATGTGAGCACACTTTAAAAAGCTCTTGAAAACCCTGAACTTGAAAACCCTAAACTTGAAAACCCTAAACTTGAAAACCCTAAACTTGAAAACCCTAAACTTGAAAACCCTAAACTTGTTTTCTCGAGTTAGGACACAGTGGGAGGGATGGGAGAGCAGTTTGTCCCTTGGGAAGCTCAGGAAGGAGCTGGGCCAGTTCCCGGGAATGCAGCTTGGAGAGGAGGGGTGGAGAGGGAGGAAGGCTCTCCTGAGGAGTTTTGGGATGTCTGGGCACGCTTGGGTCTGCCAGGGCTCCCTCTGCTCTCAGGGACAGGTGACAGGAGCAAGTGTGTGTGGGGCAATGTCCCGTTTCCTGCCCAGAACGAGGTGGAGCAGCAGGATTCGGGAGAGCTGGATGGGTTCCCATCCTGTGCAGGGCAGGGAGGATGGAGCAGAGCCGAGCTGGATTCCAGCAGCTGGGAGAGCACTCAGTGCAGAGATCAGAGCTGCACTTTTGACCTGGAAAGCCTTCGAAAGCAGAGGGAGAGGCCTTGAAAGGCGAAGGCAAAGACCTTAAAAAGCAAAAAAAAAGGCAAGGCTTTTAAAAGCACAGCTCCCACCTGGCTCTCCAGCTGCCTCCAGCCTCCCACTCTGGACCGTGCTCCTTCACCCATCCCTGCGGTCCCAGACTTCCCATGGGACACAGACACCTCTGCAAGGAAAGGCTAGCCCTGGACAAGATGTGTACGAGGGATGCCACAGCTCATGCCACCCCCAAATCCTGTGCCACCGCTGGAAGCAGAGCCCCAAATCCGCGGTGGCAAACAGGAGCCTGTGTTCCCTCCGGCTGGGACCAGCCCTGGGAAGGGATTCCTCTGCTGGCAGGAGGGAGCAGGGACAGCACACGACACCGGCCCAAAGGCCAGCCCCTTCCCCAGCCCCGAGTTCCCTTCCCCGGCCGCTGTCACACAGGGGTGTGGCTGTGCCCCGCTAGCAGCAGCTGGCACAAACAGCCGTGCAGGAGGGTGCAAAATGCTCCGAGGGATTACAAAACACCCGCGGTGCTGGAGATTCCCTGCGGGGCTTCCCCTGGCTGGGCCCTCCAGCCCTTCCCACGCTCTGGCCACCGCACAGAGCCTGATGTGGCGTTTGTCGTGTCCATCCATCCATCCATCCATCCATCATCCATCCATCCATCCATCCATCCATCCATCCATCCATCATCCATCCATCCATCCATCCATCCATCCATCCATCATCCATCCATCCATCCATCCATCCATCCATCCATCATCCATCATCCATCATCCATCTATCCATCCATCATCCATCATCCATCCATCCATCCATCATCCATCCATCCATCCATCCATCCATCCATCCATCCATCATCCATCCATCCATCCATCCATCATCCATCATCCACCCATCATCCATCCATCATCCATCCATCATCCATCCATCCATCCATCCATCCATCCATCCATCCATCCATCCCAGTTATTCCTCCTGCTCCCAGAATCCAGACTGGGCTCAATGGACACCACGATTTCCTCCCTTTCCCTTCGAAGCTGCTTTTCCATCACCTCACAGTCCTGCCAGTGGCTTTGTAGCCCTTTCCCTGAAACACCCAAGGCACGGCCAAGGGTGGAGGCGTTTGGATGTGTTTCCCTGTGGGATTTAGCAAGAGCTGCCTTTTCCTTGGAACTCCCGCCCTTGTTCCCTGTGATGTCAGCCCTGGGCAGGGAATGGCCCTCGTGGGTGGAAAGCTCAGGGGGAAAAGCCTCAATTCTTGGTGGTTAAAACCTGCGAGGAACGGGTTGGACCTTCTGGGGACCTCCTGGAGCTGTGGTGCCTCAGTTTCCTTCGTCTCAGGGAGCTCAGATGGGAGGAAGGAATGGGGAAGATGCTCCAGCCTCACTGCTGGAGCGTGCAGCTGTGGTTTCAAGCTGGCAAATGGGGCTTCTCTGGGCTGGAGGGATAAAGAAGGAAGGAAGGGACCAAGAGCAGCAGCAGGATGATGGGTAAGGTCAGAAAGGGAAGTCAGCAGGCACAGATGGGACAGTGTGGATGTGGCAGAGGGCACAGATGGGATTTCTGGGGACAGAATGGCACACCATGGCCCCTGCTGCCATCCCGGATGGGCTGGGTGCTCTTGGCCTGGGAGAGAGGAGGAGGAGGAGGAAGAGGAGGAGGAGGAGGAGTGGGTTGGTGGTCAGCACTGGAGGAAATGGGCTGGAACCACTTCTTGCTCTGGCTTTAAGGGGAAATGCCTGGCAGCTTCCCTCATCTCCCACCCACTCCTTCCCTCCTCCCAGCCTGGGTGGTGGGTGCTGAGCCTTGGTGGGTGCCAGGCTGCTCTTCCCATGGAGCTTCATCCCTCTGGATGGTTTGCATCAAAGAGATCTTCCCCCCCATGAGATCCTGGCATGGATCTTGCCCCAAATCCTGTCCCAAACCCTTTGGGTCTCACTTCCCAGGGAGGGGCTGTGTTCCAGCAGGGAATGCTCTGGCTCTCAGGACCACCCTGAGCTGGGCTCTCCCTGCTTGCAGAAGGCAGTTGTGTAACAGCTGAGGTGAGTCCTGCTGTTGGAGGGAGTGCATTTGGGAAATCCAGACATTCCCAGCAGAAATCCCCCCTGCTCCAGCTGATTTTCCCTGGCTGCAGGAGAGGGGGATACCACCAGGGCCAGTCTAGAACTTTTTTTCCCTTGTGGCTCATCCAGTGCTGGAAGAACAGTGCTCAGCTGCCAATCCTGCTGTCCTGCATCCCAAACTTTTTCTAGGAACTGGGTGGCTCCTGCCCATTCAGGAGACCAAATCCACAGCGAGGGCACCTCACCCTGGCAGTGCTCTCTCATGAGAGCTGCTTCCTTTCCCCCTGGAGAGCATCCCATCCATCCCATCCATCCCATCCCATCCCATCCCATCCCATCCATCCCATCCCATCCCATCCCATCCCATCCCATCCATCCCACCCCTCCCCTCCTGACTCGTGTCCCTTGCCCTGGCAGGGAGAAGCGCTCTCTGCACGTCACTGTCACCAACCCTGTGCAGTGCAGCCTGCACGGCAGGAAATGCACCGTGTCCGTGGAGACCAAGATCAACCAATCCCAACCGGATTTCACCAAGCACCGCTCCGGCTTCGTGCTCTGCGTGCCGGGCAATTAACGCTGGGCTCGCCCTCCCCGAGACCCGCCGGGATCCAGCAGGAGATGCTCAGCGGCGATTTGCCAGGTGCCTAAAGCAGCCTCTGAAGTTCAAGGTTTGGAAAACCCAAATTCCAGGGGTTTAGAAAAGCCAAGTTCACATGGAATGAAGGCTTCAAATAGCCAGTGACTTGTTCTCCATCTTACAAACCAGGCTGGAATATCAGGAAAGTGCTTCCTTTGGAATTAGTCCTGAAAAAAGAGTTTATAGGTACTTCCACCCCTTCTTCCCTTCCCCACGTTGATTCCTCACCCCCTCTCCAATTTTCCTTTCCATGTTCCTTTCCCACGTGTCAGTTTTTGCAATAGGATGCAGCCTCCTCCGGAGGAACCAAAGATACCCAGCTCAGGGAGTCAGGTTCTGTCGGGCCAAACCCGCACGGAACCAGAGCCAGGCTGGGCAGGGAGGGCTGGCTTCCCCCACCAGAGACACTCCACACTCCTGCAGCCTCCCCAGGCACACCGGGGCTGCGAAGGAACATGGAGACACCTCCAGACCTGCTGCTTTCCCTCGGGAATTCATTAACCCATTGAGGCACCTTGGCTGGAGAGGGGACTCCCCAGTGTAGGTTTTGTTAATCCTGCATTGCTTTCTGCCTTAATTACCCCCTCCAAGGGCCTAAAGCCGGTGGGTTCCCATTGGGACCGTGTGGCCTTGCTGAATTTTTAGATGATCCACGTGGCTTCGTGTCTGTGCCAGCGCTGGGGTCAGGGAGGGCTAAAGGGACCCACGGCAGGGGCAAGCCCAGGAACAGGGGGAGCTTTGGGGGGTCAAGCTTTGCACTATCCAACATTAACCTGGCACAGCCCCAGCTGCCAGTGCCCAGGCTCCTCCCTCCAAAGAGTTTTCCTGGCTTTTCCCACAATGGGCTGTGGCTGTTGGGGTGTTGGGCTCGTCCTGCCCAGCCCAGCTAACCCTGAGCTCTGTCTGGAGGAGGGACGTGGATCTCCCCAGTGGTTTGTTCCCACCGTGCCATGGTTCCTGAGCAGCCCAGGCTGTTGGGATTGTACATTGGGATTGTCCTGGCACTGCTGGTCAGGTCAGGATTCCCAGCCTGGAGATGGGGGAGCACTGTGGTGACCCCCCCTCGGGGTCCCAGCCCGGCCAGCAAATGGGGAGCACTTCATTGATGGAGCATTTTGGGAATTAGAAAGCCTGGAAGAGGCTCCTCATTACAAAAGGTTTCCTGTAGCTGTGCCATGGACATGGGGCACGGGGACAGGTGGCTGCAGCCTTGGTGTCCCACTGTCACCCCTGAGACCAGGGGGGGACAGATGTGGAGCAGCTCTGGCTCTGCATGAAATGGGACAAGCCCCACACCGGAGCTCTCCCATTCCCACTGTCCCTGGCCTTGGACCAGCCCCGGCAGCATCCCAGCATCCCAGCCCAGCCCCCCGTGCCCCTCTCGGTGTGCAGCTCTGGGATGTCCCGAGGGTCCTGTGCCGGACCAGGGGCTCTTCTGGCAGGGCACCACCAGCACCGGGCTGGGAGGTGACACCGGGAGCCCCGACCCCGCCACGCTCACACAACACCCCGGGACCACCCCGGGACCACCCCGGACCCTCCAGCGCCTTTCACGCCCCAGCGGCTCCTCGGGAGGAGCGGCACCAACGCCAAAGCCTCGGGACCGCTCCGCAGGGAAGCTCCCGGCCTTGCTGTGCCTTTGGATTTGCACTTCTCGCTTGCCCTGGCTCGGTGCAAACCTCCCCCGCACTAACCCCGGGCAGGTGGGGGGTGGGATCAGCACTTTTGTACCCTCGTGCCCCCAAAAGAATGTTCGGATGGAATTGGGATGGACGGCAACCAATTGCAGGCTTGGGAAATTTCTCCTAGCATGAGATGGCAGAATTGTATGTGATGAGATGTGTCTTATATATAATCTGTTCCTGCTCTGGTTTTATATATATATATATATAAATATATAAAATATATATATTCTTGGTTTTCCCATAAATTAACTATTTCTAAATTGAAACTTCGATTCTCAGCCGGGGGCAATAATGCAATGAACCTTTTGTTTTGGTTTGTTTTTTTTTTTATAAATCGCTGATATTTTATGTGTAAAAGAGCAGAAAAAAAAAACCTGCTATAATGGACCTGGGTTTTGTTTACATAATTCACTGTAATAAATAATAAAAGAAAGCAGTTAGTTGCATCCACCATGGCGCTGCCAATTCCTGCCAGCGCGGGGGCTCGGGGGCGATGATGCCCAGAGGGATCGGTGTCCCAATATCCCAATATCCCAATTATTATCCCAATATCCCGATTTCCCCCCTCCGGCTGCTGCCGCTCTCCCACCACGGGGTGACCTCGGCTCCGGTAACGCGATTAAAGAGCGGTGGCTGCGATAAAACCTCTGTCGTCAACACAAATCCCATTCCCCGCGTCCGAGGGCCGGGAGCGCAGAAAAGACTCGGCCACGAGGCGCTGCCGTGTAATGGATGGTCAGTGCATTTTTATTTAATCAGCACAGTACAAAAATAAATAAAAATAAGGGGAGGGGATTAAATTACAGGCACACTGAGCCCCATGACACAGTCGGTCGGGTTATAAACCACACATACTTACAAACACACTATACACATACATACAAAATGAGACAAATATAAATTAATAAGTAACAATACCCACCAATTTGGTCAACAAA